TTGGGTTTTGGGGGAACACAGGGACGATGTGTCTTTTTTGTCCAAAGGTAGCACCGGGGAAAACGCTCAGCAAGGTCTCCAGTCTCCAAGTGCCGAAACGAAAATTTTCATGTCTCCAAGTGCTCGGAAACCAGATCTTCAGGTCTCCAGGTACTCGGAAACCAGATCTCCAGATCACCAAGCACTCGGAAAACAGGTCTTCAGGTCTTCAAATGCTCGGAAACCAGGTCTCCAGATCACCAAGTACTCGGTAACCAGGTCTTCAGGTCTCCAAGTGCTCGGAAACCAGGTCTCCAGATCACCAAGTACTCGGAAACTAGGTCTTCAGGTCTCCAAGTGCTCGGAAACCAGATCTTCATGTCTCCAAGTGCTCTCACAACCAGGTCTTCAGGTCTCCAATTACTCGAAAACCAGATCTTTCGATCTCCAAGTGCTCAGAAACCAAGTCTTCAGGTCTCCAAGTGTTTAAAAATCAGGTCTTCAGTTCTCCAAGTGTTTTGAAACCAGGACTTCAGGTCTCAAAGTGATCGGAAACCAAAATTTCAGATCTCCAAGTGTTTGGGAACTAGGTTTTCGGTCTCCTAGTGTCTAGAAACCACGTCTTCACGTCTCCAAGTGCTCTGAAACAAGTCTTCGCGTCTCCCTGTGCTCCGAGACCAGGTCTTCAGGTCTCCAAGTGTTTACAAATCAGATCTTCAGGTCTCCAAGTGTTGACAAATCAGATCATCAGGTCTCCAAGTGTTTACAAATCAGATCTTCAGGTCTGCAAGTGTTTACAAATCAGATTTTCAGGTCTCCAAATGTTTAGAAAACAGGTCTTCAAGTCTCCAAGTGCTCTAAAACCAGGTGTCCAAGTGCTCTAAAATAAGTTATTTTGAACCTTAAGGCTAAACTAGAAGGTTCTTCAGTGACCAGCAGGCTGAGACCAGCAGCTGAGACCAGCAGACTGAGACCATCAGGGCCGTGATCTCAACGTACACAGTGGGCGCCTGGCAGGTCAGGGACCCTCTGGCAGATGCCAGCGGAACAGAGAGACCATCGATTTTGTATAAGCTTGTATTGAGACTGGGTGCTGATGTTTCTCCACGCAGTCTTTGTGGCCATGACACTTGCTTAATGGACAAGAGTTTAGTAGACGAAGATAAAGAAAGGAGCAATGGGCTGTGGGCTGGAACAATACTGTGGCTGGAACAACACTGTGGGCTGAAGCAATACTGTGGCCTGGTAACAACACTGTGGCTGGAGAG